CCGGTGGCGCCAGTGTCCGGCAGCCTCGCCTCTGTCAGTGCGCCCCAGGGTGGCTGTGGCTACAATGTAGCTGCCATCACCAGTGTGTGGATGTGTGGATGAATGGGTGGATGACTGGTTGTGTAAAGCGCTTTGGGGTCCTTAGGACTAGTAAAGCACTATAGAAATACAGGCCATTTATCATTTACTGACCCAACACTGAGGTCAGAGGTCATCAGGTAGTCGTGCAGGTAGCCCCACCCTGAGAGCGTAACAGTAGCAGATCAGGTGTGGACAGGTGTGCAGTTCTGTGTTTCTTCTGTCCTCACTCCTCTGATTTCAGATTCTCACACTGAGCAGCAGGGGGCGCTCCAGACCCACCGCTCAGCTTCATCTCTGGATGAAGGCTGAGCACTAACAAGCGTGACAGAGCGAAACCGCTCACATGTGACCAACTGTGAAAGACACTGAGATGAGTTTTTATTACAGGAAGTGAAAAATGAAAAGTAAGTCACTATAAATACAACACACTCTGTGATATCAGCTCATGTTCTGTCTGTGAAGGCTCTCAGTCATCCAGGTCGCGGTGATCTAAGGCAGCGGTCCCCAACCCCCAGGCCTCGGACCGGTACCGGTCCGTGAGTCGTTTGGTACCGGGCCGCGAGAGTTGAAGCTCAGATGTGAAATGTATAGTTTTCAGGGGTTTTATCGGTTTTCAGCGTTATTTTGTTATCGTTTTTATCGTTATACTCGTTTGTCCTGGGTCTTTTCACGTGTGTTATGAATAAATTTTCTTATTTTTTTTGTGCGGGTACCAGTTTTATTTTGTGGTATTTATCCACGACACCTTAAAGGCCGGTCCATGAAAATATTGTCGGGCATAAACCGGTCCGTGGCGCAAAAAAGGTTGGAGACCGCTGATCTAAGGAGCTTGGAAGAAACGCGACTGGACATCTTTAAGCTTGTGCAGACATTTCTTCACAATCAGGACACTTTGATAATTCCAAAGGAAATTATGTATCCGACAAGCTTCTTCAGTTCCAAAAGCAAATGATCAACAGTGGGTCATGACTCACTGACCTCAGTAGAAGATGTGAGTGGGTGTTAAGGTGTCTGTGAAGGGTCTCAAACTGGATTATAGATGGCAGACATTTGGTGTCCAAAGATGGTCGCTCACAGTAGACATTAGGGATGACCAATACCACTTTTTTGGAAACGAGTACGAGTACTTCAGAAAATGTGGTATCGAGGCCAATACCAGATACCGGCATTGGTATCGGTGCATCCCTACACAGCAAAATCTCCAGTGTTAAATTAACACTGGAGAGTGTCTATATGGGTCCACACCTCTGAGTGTTAAATACAACACTGTTGAGTGTTAAATTAACACTTTTGACAGTGTTGTATGTTTAAAAGTAACCTAGTCAGTTTTGAAGATTAACAATGGCTAACACTGAGCAGTGCTGATTTTCTAACACTGGAAAATAACTCAAAATGTTAGAAATCTCCAGTGTTAATTTAACACTGGAGATTTTGCTGTGTAGTAGACATCAGTGTTGGTCAAGTTACTAGAAAAAAGTAATCAGTAGCTAATTACTGATTACTTCCCCAAAAAAGTAATCCCGTTACTTTACTGATTACTTATTTTCAAAAGTAATTAATTACTTAGTTACTTAGTTACTTTTAAAAACA